TCTTCTTCTTCTTCTTCTTCTTCTTCTTCTTCTTCTTCTTCTTCTTCTTCTTCTTCTTCTTCTTCTTCTTCTTCTTCTTCTTCTTCTTCTTTCTCATTTCCCATTTTCCTCTCCTGATGTGTCATGTGGCCAAGGCATTTGGATCTTGTGTTTCTGTTTTCTGGATACATTATATTATTTTGTGCATGGCTTTATCAGACATTGCAGCAGTAGGTTTCTGCATTCTTATTAGAGAAAAGGGAACTGTCACAATCCTGAAGTTGTTACGTAAACGTGGAAGCATAGGGACTGCAGGTAAGTAATCACTGGACTGATTTGGATCATATACTTTGTTCATTAACCTCTGTGGTTTTAAGGATGCATGGCAGAGTGCCAAACCATGAAGGAGCTTAGGGAAAGGAAGTCAAGGGGGAGGCAGGAAGAATAAAGAATTCAGTTTGAGATCCTTATCCCATTCCCAGAGAGTACATATTTCCTTTTCCTGAAAATATTTTTAGGTTAGGTTTCCCCCCCTCATAATTCCCCGTTTCCTTCATTTTTTGGTTCTGCTAAACCACTGGGAAGTGAACAATTATTTTTTCCCACTAACTGACAAAGGCAGTGACTTTATTCTCCAGCATGTCAGTTAATGTAATTAATCATACTGGTTCGTTTACTGGACAACAGGCAGTTCTTCTGAAACCTACTTAGACAGACTTCTATCAGCTGTTTCTAAAGTACACTAGTTAATGGTTATTCCATGAACATATTTGTAATTAGTACAAAGAACAGTGGGAGCAGTTGTTTCCCAGATCAGATGGCATGCTGATGGTTTGCCCTAAGTGATACTCTCTGCTCTCGCAAATACCTATTCAGTGTATGTTTTGATGCCATCTCTTCTTGTCATTCAAACATCACATAATGGACACAGGCCACATAACCCAGAGAGGCATGTTCAGGGACCAGCTTCACGGACAAACACATTTCTCATGCTTCCAGAGATTACTCTGACTGATGAATTCTCTGTCTTCTTAATACTTAGAAGTTATCCAACTAGAAGTTCATAACTATAGATGTATAGATTGTCTATCTAAATGAGAAGGGTGACTTTTACCTTTATAAATGTACTTTTTAAATAAATGTAATAATTGGAAGCAAATCTGTTTTTGTGCAGGATTGTTGAATTCTTACCTTAAGTTTTTTGTTTGATTTCAAGGAGCTTACCAGACCTGAAGCTGTTGGTCGTATAACCATATCACCAGCCATTTCTGGGCAAGATTTTACCAGATCCGAGGGAACATTGCTCTTTGAACCTGGACAGAGAACTACCATTCTTGATATAATACTCACTCCAGAGACTGGATCCTTAAATCCATTTCCTAAACGCTTCCAAGTTGTGCTTTTCAATCCTACTGGAGGTGCCAGAGTTGATGACATCTATGGCATTGCCAACATCACCATTGTGTCCGATTCAAACTCCCAAGCAGTCTGGGGGCTGGCTGATCAGCTTTACCAACCAATTGATGACACCATTTTGAACAGAGTCCTCCAGTTGTTAAATGTCAAAGTAGTCTTAGAAAGTACGGAAGAGCAGCTTGCTGCTGTGATGTACATAATCGACAAGGTACCATATCTGGATGCTTCTTCTGTACTGATTAATGGCTGGCCTAGAGTTAGATGAGGATGCAGTAACTCTTTGGGTGATATATGAAAGATCAAAATGTTAAGCTGCAGGTGATATGTTGTGACAAAAAATACCTGTTATCAAGATAATTGTCTGGCTGCTTTATCAGGTATTAAAATATAAAGGAAATAGTTCAAATTTGCATATAGTGGAGAATATTGTAGTTCTCCTTGCATATAGTGACTTGAATAAATGCACATGGCTTCACCTCCAGAGAATGGAGATGGACACTTGAATAATAATTCAAATCTCTTCAGAATCACACCCATTCTTTAATCTTGTTAAAATATATAATCTGAAATAATTTCTGACACTCAGTTCCAAGATGACTGTTGTTCTAATGCCTTACTGTCTGCTTTGCAGTTTCCTGGGCAGTACGAAGTGTAGAAAAAGAAGTCCAGTAGCAGATATGTATGTTACAAGGACATTCTCGAACAAGAAAATTTTGCCAGCATTTCCATTGAACAGGGTTATTCAGACTGGCATTTTTGTGTACAGTTTTTCCACTTTCTTTCAATTATTGCACATCTGACATTCTATAGAATTATTGCAAGATGATTCTTGTTTGCTTAAGCGATTATGTTTTCTGGGACTGTACCTTCTAGGCAGGCATGAAGCCTTGCTTGTACCTACAGGAAGGCATGTAGACATTTTTGTGCAGATTTGGGAATGGGGGAGGAAAGAGGCAGATCCCCCCAAGAAATGAAGATATGTGCATTTGAAATCAGTGTTCAATTCCTGTCACCCACGTACTCATTATTGTTTTAAAAAGGTCCTTCACATTGCCCCACTTGGGGATCTCAGCATAAACAGAAAAAAGGTCAAATACCAATATTGTCATACCTCACTGAATCTGTTCAGCAAAGGAGAATTTTTGTTGATTGCAAAACAAAGACAGATTTGCCTATCAGTCTGCAATTTGGGTTGAAGAATACAGTCCCTAAATATTTTATTCAAATTGAATGGGGGGAAAGAATTACACTCAGAAATGCAGTTTCATAGTCAAGCCAATGGAAATGAAGACTGAATTTATAAAGTAATATTAATAGCCTTAATAGTGGTATTAAAGAATCCAAATAACATTTTTAAAAAGAAAAAAGGACTCTGAATCTACAAATAAAATGTACATGCTTATCAGGAAACACATTTAGGCAAAGAATGTTGATTTAGTTGTGGAAAATCTTTGTTCTCTTCAAATAATTTGATTATGAAAAAAATGGCATGATTGTCACTTGTGTTGCACTGAATTATTTTATTCTTTCACCCACTTTTTCTCTTTAAGGTAATATCTGAGGTGGAGAAGCATCCACTCACTGATACAAACCGAAATCTTTTGTATGAGATCCTTTGTGCACTTATTAATCCCAAACGCAAGGATACCCGGGGTTACAGCTTCCTTGCTGATATTACTGAGAAATTTGCCTTTTCTCTCCCTGTTGGAGAAATGTGTGGATCACTGGGTGAAAGGTAAGACTTTTCACATAGAGAATATGCCAAAAATATTCCCTGATGTTGAAGTGAACTATGAAGCCCCCATGGTTTTAGGTATATGTCATAATTTCCTGGAACAGTATAGATCTTGGTTGGGCAAAACTTAGTGTAGTGAAATCTCTAAAAATCTGACATTCGATAGAATTATAATAATTGTCAATATTTGAGAAGACTGGATGGACATGAGGACTACTGAAATATATCTCAGGTTTGCTTAGGGGGGGTGTTCTGTCAGATGTCAAAACTTGTGATGTTCTCGGAAGAATCAATAACCATCAAAGAGTCTGCAGACAAAAAAACCCCCTTAAAAATAGTAACACCTCAGATAGGGACAGACTGTCCTCTGAACTATGTAAGAAGTTCAAAAAAGTATTTTGGCAGAGCCTTTAGGAAGACTGCTCAGTACAGTTTTCCAGGAAGATGCTATGCCACACACATGGAAGGAGGCAAGAATAGTGGCTCTGTGGAAAGCAGGTGAAAGGGAAACCATGACTGAGTCCTGCCATCCTGTATTCTATTTAAATCAGGACACAAAATTGTTCACCTCTTTTCTTACCTCTGCTATTCATCAGTACATCAATCAGGACTAGACTGGATTTATACCCAAGAGACAAAAAGTGAACTATATTCGTAGTTCCTTCAATGTTAACTGTTTCAGGACAAAAATATCAAATGTGCAATATTATTTAAAAGCAGATGGGAATTGAGAAGTTGATCTGCTCAGGCCTCTGAGAGGTTATAGAACCATGGATGGGGCGATCCCGGCATGCAAGCATATGTGTGAAATATCCCTGATCACAGTTACCCTTGCTTGTAATAATAATTATTCATACATTATTAATATTGCTAATAATAAGCAAACCACCCGATAAAGATATCAAGGGAATATAAGAACTTGCTTCACATGTTTTCTTTCACAATGGTAAACAATTTTTTCGCTTTTGTTTGAACAGAGGCAAAACTATCCTTGACCATTGCCCTTACATCATTATCATGGCCCATTCCTGGTATCCACAGCAAATCAATGGACACATATTTTATGGGAAAGATGGTGATTTTATCAGAATACCTGAACGCTTATTAGAGATTCCTGATTCACCTCACTCAAAAGATGAAACCTGTTGGTTTATTCAGTTCACTGAGTATAGCAACCAGCAATGGTTTGTCACTGGTGATAAAGGAACTGCCCTAAAAAACAAGGTATGACTTATAACTGTTGTTACTGATTGGAATGATGGTTTTTATGTTTCCAGTTTGGTGTAGAGCCAGTTTGGTGTAGAGCCAGTTTGGTGTAGAGCCAGTTTGGTGTAGAGCCAGTTTGGTGTAGAGCCAGTTTGGTGTAGAGCCAGTTTGGTGTAGAGCCAGTTTGGTGTAGTGGTTAAGTGTGCGGAAATCCAATCTCTTCTCTTCTCTTCTTGTTCTAAATTCCGAGCTGCGTATGTGGGGCTGCCAATATTTTCTCATCCAAGCACTGAGCACATCCATAGATTTGTTGTTTCCTTCTTTTAAGATTAAGCATGAGGCATTTAATTAAAAATATGCTTTATATACTTATGACCCAGAAGTGCAGCTATATTTGTCCAGAAAGATAAACTCACAGCCTATTTTTGTGCCTTTGAGACTATTTCAGTGAGATAGGCAACAGCTCACTGCATCCGATATGCAAATTTAATGAAGGATAAGCCTGTTTGCTTATAGAGTTGGACTCGACTGTGCAACTGAACAACAACAAAGTAGATGGCTCACTAAGAGCCCAGATCGTGCACCCCCCCTTTCTCGCTTCTTTTTGCTCCTCCACCGGTGTCCCTCTGCTTGCATTGCTTCTTTCTATGTCATTGGCTAACCTATTGTGATGTCATGAGTCAGCTGCCTGGCCCTAGGTCTGCAAGGTATGCTAACATCAAAGGGCATCGGGGATAGGTTTGCCAGATCTGGGTTGGGAAATTCCTGGAGATATTGAGGGAGGGGGGTGAAGCCTGGGGAGGGCAAGATTTGTTGTGGTGAGGGATCTTCCAAAGCAGCCGTTTCTCCAGGGGAACTGATTTCTCTAATCTGGAGGCCAGATGTAATTCCAGGAGATCTCCAGCCACTACCTGGAGACTGGCAACCCCAATTTCAGGGACCATGAACCATCTGGTTTGAACTGGTTTCACTATTCAGATACCCCAGCTTCTGTTTTGTCACAGAGAAACATGCAGGCCTTGGAGCAGACAGCTGAAAGCTTATGGGACAGCAGGACAGTTTATTGACTCTCAGGGCGATGGCAGTTTTGAGCAAAATTAAATTTTGCTGGAATATGGTAATGTCATAGGACTTTGAATAGTGCCTTGTTAATGCAGATCATCTGAGTAATCTCAAAACTTTCCCTTAGAAGCAGATTATGATAAGGGCAGTTATTATGATTATAGTTTACAACATAATCTCTGTGAATGCAAATGGCTACAAATAATGTTTGGAATGTATATGTACATAGTTTGAGGACAAGCTTGGTTAAAGATGTTTGTGTCTGTGGTTCAGTGGCTTAACCATGATGTTTTTGCCAGGTCCTTGCTCATGAAGGTGTAAGTTCGCCTATGGGGCTGTGGGTTCAAATCTCTTGGTGCCCCTAGCTGAGGGAAATTTGGGACCTTTACCTAAGAAAACAGGGAGTGTCCATACTTAGTGATCAAACAGGTGCTTTGCATCCCAGTTTAATACCCAGTACCTCCAGAGGGATCCCAAGCAGCACGGCTGGGGAAGATAGCCTAAGACTCTTAGAAGATAACTCTGAGTTAGCACTCCAGTGTTTAATTCAGGTAGCCTTGTGTTTTGTATACAAATTAAAAGAAAAAAAAATCCACTTTGCCTGTTTCAGATTCTTTCCTTGAGTGTAAAAGGCTTGAGTCCACTTCTGCTGAAAGATAACAATAATGTTATCTATCGAATTCATTCTCCAGACAGCCGAATAGTTCCTCATAAATCTTTGTGTCTCCTTTGGAATCAGGCTGCTGAAAGGTATATTTTTCCAATTCATTGTTTTGCTTTGTGTATCTGACTTGAAACAAGTGAGGCTTGGTTATAGCAGCTGCAATGGCATACTGGACCTAGCTTGCTCCTAGCTAAGGTTTGCTGAACTGAATGATGTCATCATCCCAAGTCAAACCAAACGACTAGGCTTAGAGGAGTGGGAGAAAGATATTTTTAAACCCTTCCTCAGGTCTCCCAAGTCTTCCCAACTGTACAGACCATACACCCAAATTTGCCACCAGAATCTGTTTTCCCTAGATTTGGCATCATTCCTAGTCAGATGATTTCCTTTTTCTTCTCTCCATATCCTTTATCTTCCTTCACTCTTCCCCTCAATCGGTATTTCCAATACCATGTGTGACACAGGCATCAGCCCTCATTTGTGTGGAGTTTCTATTGCGTGTTGTTCTTGTGATGTACTAATGGTTGACAATGTTTTTATTATGATTATTGATCACTGATCTGAAGATGAATGAACATGGTTAACTTTTTTGTTTCTTCTGCAGCTGGTTAACCGATAGTCAGTTCTGTAAAGTCGTAGACGAATCCTCAAATTATGTGGAATGCTCTTGTTCCCACCTCTCTCTGTATGCAGCCTATGCCCAGACAGACACCTTGTCCTCTTACAATGAAGCTTTTTTCTCATCTGGTTTCATCTGTATTTCTGGTCAGTTGCTACATTATTATTATTATTATTTTAATGCTCATGGATGGTGTACTGGTACTGACCTTGATGTAGGAAACTGCCCTGACTGGAAAGCTTGGCCAAAAAAGGACCAACAAACATTGTCTGAAGAAGAAGAAGAAATAATTGTAATTACCTACTAATAAAACTAGCAAGGGGAAACATGCTTTACAGGCCAATCCAAATAAAATAGTTTTATTCTGCATTTAACAAAATTGTGGATGACTTGTATTTGCCCAGTTTAGTACTGCAAAATGGCTGTTATGAATGCTATAAGAACATTCCACTTTAATAAAGAACTTTCCACAGCTAGGCCAGCCAAAGCAATCCTTACCCTCTACTTCACAGACTTGGCTGTCACTTAGGCCCTCTTAAACACTTTTTTGTGTGTACAGGCAGATTTTTTTTTAAGGCTATGAAGAAAAAAACGTTTGAAAACCTGTATTATAAGCAACGAGAGAGCCCAGACTGGTGATGGCTCCTTATAATAGTATCCTTGGTCACAAACCTGGAATTTCCGCTCGCATAATGTAAGATGGTCACGCCATTGACTGGCTTAGTGATGCTGTAGGGGGTCAGTGCAACTGACTGGAGCATAGACAAGCCAAGATATTCTGGGTTCTAGCAACTTCAGGAAGAAGTGTGAACAAAAAGATAAATATCAGTCATTTCACATAATCATGTGAGAGAGCAACCTATTAGATAATACATAATAAAAATTTGCTGCCTAAAGTTCAGGCAATTTCTAGTCACAGAAGCTCATCCAGAAAAGTTTATTCTCATAAAGCAGCAGCACTGTACAACAAACTGCTTTGATGCAGGGGACGGTAGGCATTACGCTTCTGGGAGCTACTTAATTTATTTTTTCAAGATTCTTGGGAGCTGCCTGTCACCAAATGGTGGCTTATACAAAAATTACAGTCTTGTACAGCAGAGAAAGTTCTGCCGTGCTCAGGTGGGGAAACCTTGCCTCAGCTTTTCCCCCAAAGCCAACCGCCACCTCAAATTGTAACTTGTCCTACTAGAAAAAAAGAGCAAGGCAAAAACTTTGAAATAGAACTTTTTAAACAGCCCATGTTAAATATATGCACTTTTTCTGGCATTAAGGTCCTTGGTTTTTAATAGTTCTCTAGCTGCTTTGTCATATACAACATTTGATCTATTTGATCAATAACCCCGTATTTTCTTTCTTTTTTAACAGGCTTAATCTTGGTCATTTTTGCACACCTTTTCTGTACCAGGTCTTCAATGTTTGCAGCTAAACTTCTTACTCATATGATGGCTGCCTGCTTGGGTACTCAGGTAGGAAAAAATGTTAAATTCTTTTTACCTTTTTTCTAATTGTCCCTCACATTGTAGAGTTTGAATAATAATGTAATTTTAAAGTATTGAAAATTGGAAAAATATTGATATATACAGAGCTTAATATGGAAAAAAGACAGCTGTTGAGAAACAATACCTCTGGAGGCCACATTCTCTAATCCTGAATCCCTGCCCAACAAACCCAGTCATGTAGAATCTGAATGTGGTTACTTTTACTTGGTGGTGAAGAAGAGGTACTCTATGTGTTTTATTTATTTATTTCAATTATAGCCTGTCTTTCTCATTGAGTCTCAAGGTAAATTATGCAGTATGAAATAATGCAATCAAATAGCATTACCCATATAATGATACACTAGGATTAGAAGTACAGAAATTAAAAACAATGCAAAAAAAGTATCAGACATGGCCCATGGTTCAGTGGCAAAGCGACTGCTTTGCATGCAGAAGGTCCCAGGTTCTACCCTTAGTATCTCCTGTTAAAATCTGAAAGACTGCTACCTGAGACTTTGGAGAATCACTGCCTGTCTGAGTAGACAATACTGATGTTGATAGACGAGTACAGTGATACAGTATAAGGCAGCTTCATGTGTTCATGCTAAGTCAAACAGTGCTGACAATGGAATTGCAAAAGTTGAAAACATTGCAGAAAGAGCAGAATACAAATAGTAAACAGAGAATACATAATGATATAGACTACAGTCCCAATTCCTTTATAAAAGGTCCTTCCTGAACCATTCCATTATACCATAGCTCTATTACCTTTATAAAAAAGCTCTTCTAAACAATTCTGTTTAACATAGTTTGCAGAATGACAGAAGTGTGGGAGCATTCCTGGTCTCCTTGAGCTGGCCATTCCACAAGATGAGGTCCACAACAGAATCAATGTTCCCTCTAAGCTGTGGAGTCTTGTGAGCAAAAATTCTACTTTGTGAGCTACTGGCATTAAAGTTGTGAGCGAGCAATTTGGTTACTGCATAGATTAGTCTGCTCTGGAGCCATCCTTCCTGAGCTAAGACAAATATGTGTGAGCAGGAGGCTAAAGAACTGTGAGCTAGCTCACACTAACTCAGTTTAGAGGGAACACTGAACAGAATGCACATGGTACAGGCAGCTATTGATCTTACCCATTTGCAGGTCCTTGCAGGTCACCCTTTATCTTGCCATAATTCTTTCAACACCCTGTAAGATAAGGTCAGTATTATTATCCTCATATTGCAGCATCCAAACTGTGGGCCTTCTGATTAAGAGAGCTCCGTCTCTTAACCATTACACTGTTCCAGCTGTAATATTCTTTGTCAAGAGAACATGAAATACTTTGTATTCAAATACTGTAATAATTTTCATTGACTTCATGCAATGAATTTAACACCTGATTTTGTATTTTATTTTATATAATTAGATAGATAGATAGATAGATAGATAGATAGATAGATAGATAGATAGATAATATGTATGTATGTATAGCAGCTCTCTCTCTCTCTGTGTGTATAGGTGTAATCATGCAAAAGGTGGAATCTCATTGATAAATGCTTCTGTGCTTACAATGGTGTGAGTCAAAATAACTTTTCCAGGCTTTATGCTGTCATGATAAGATTTCTGTTCATTCTAATTTGAGAATGGAAAGGTTGTTTTTAGAATGGAATGGAATTGTTTTTTCCTTACATTTATTTATGAAGATTGCATACTAAATATGGTACAAATTCCTTAATGCTAGATATAAGGGAACTGGTTTATTTTTAAATAAAAGCTCTCTTAGACACAGTAAATATATGTCAAAGGATTGTCCTGGTATCAAGTGGAAGTAAAGGAAATGAGTTTGAAGTGCTGGAAATAATAGACATCACAGAAGTAAGCCTACACAGCCACAGAAATAAGCCAGATGCGTGAGTGCATAGAACAGGAAGCTCTCTGAAAGTGAAAAAAAATGGAAACGATGCAAGGAATAAAGGACGTGGCCTGGATAAGTATGACAGTTCCATATGTTCCCCCAAGGAAGCCCATGTAATCCTGAAAAGGTGTCTGAATTAGTACAGTAGTTGAAGGATTAATTTAGTATCTCTTATTCCCTCTAGCTATGGATACAGGCAATGCTGAATAAGTGTGCTGATAGTAAAGGCAGCCAGCATATGTGTTATAGCCAAGAGCTAGAACCTGGACTAAAGTAATTTGCTTCCTTGACTCCTTATCTCAACCTTTTAATTTTCACTGCCAATAAAAAAACTCTTTGCTCATTTTGTGTAACTTGATTAATACCAGGTGGAGGATTGAGAGCTTCATTTCATGTATTCTGGACTCTACAAAGAAGTATTTCTGATGAAAAGCATGCATCTTCTGTTGTCTGATTGAGATTTTACTAAATGTGACATTTAGAGTGGCTCCTTGACACTCAAATATTTCCTTCTTTCAAGGAAGCCTATATGAAGTTTGGCTGAAATCTAGCAAAATGATTTTGGTGGTATTACAGGTAAAATATTACAGTGTCACTGAAAGGTATGCCACTGCAAAGGTTTGGGACCCAGCTGGTGATTTAGCTTTCTTTTGCTATTGATATGTGTATGATTCTATCACAGAAATAGAAATCTAGAGAGAACAAGGCATGTTTCAGTCCCATTGAAACCAATGGCTTTAAAGTGCTTAACATCATTTTCAGTGGGGTGTAGCCTCTTGTGGAACTTCCAGAGGATCTGATCTGCCATTATGGGAAACAGGATGCTGGTCTTAAAATGAACAATTGGTCTGATCCAGCAGAGGTCTTCTATTTTATTAAAAGTGAGGGGTAAATTGACCCCCAAGATTGTACCTGTCTGGACTTGTATACTTCCTGCTTTGTTGTCCTCATTGTGGGCAAGAAGGTAATGAATATATTGAGATATCCTGGATTGCTATGAAGGCAGAATTTTCTTAGACCTGTGAAATAATTCATTCTTATCTTTTACCCATAGAGGGGAAAGAGGATTTGATCCAATTCCACCCCAG